CAGTTCATCCAAATTCAATGCCGCAGAGTTCGAGAAATGCCACCAAACGGTTTAACAAGTTCACTTGCCAGTAGCAACTAAAGAAAAGCGTGTTTGATATTTTTAATTTTAAAGTCGCATTTTCAAAATTAGACAATATAACAAAAAGGGCTGTTTTGGCCCGTTAAGCGTGTGTTGGGCTCAAGGCCCGAGAGTTTAGCCCGTTTTAAATGGACTATTTTGTGTCATATTGAAGCGTTGTGCATTATGATTTGACTGCTACAGAAAATATTATTATTTTTCCAATTTGAGTTTTTTTCTCTATTTATATATAGTTAAGCTTTTATAAATTAATACAATTGTAATTAACAAAATTTTATTAATTTAGTGAAATATTAGATTATCGAACTAATAATTTAATACGTTTACGACGAGTTGGGATCGAGAGAAAGATTATTAATTTATCGAGGTTCAACTGTATATGATATGACTGTTATCGTATTATAAATTATATTTTCTCAAAATATTTTCAAATTTGTTTTCATATCTTACCATAGTCAAAATATTACTAAATAATGCCATAGTTTATGCTTTGATAGGAAGGTGTTCTTACAAAAAACGTGTATGGTGAAATTTTACTTTGATGAAATTCGTGAGTGTAAAATCAAACAAATTCCAATGGAACCAAAATCAAATAAAAATAAGGGATTTCTTTAAAAATATATATATTTTTTTTTTCTAGAACCAAAATCAATAATTTCTTTTTTTTTCATTCGTTGAAATTTTGAAGGGTAAATTACAATCACCCCTGAGGTAAGGTCTATTAACAAAACAACCCCTTATTTTTCATAAATACACCCACCCCTTGTAATTTGTAGATTTCACACTAACACCCTTTTAAAGGGGGTGGATGTAAGAAATTTATAAACTATGGGGTTGAGCGTAATTTATAAAACATAGGGTTTTTTTCGTAATTACACTTTAACTAAGGGAGGTGGTTGTAATTTACCCAAATTTGAAAATAGATGCTCCCATCATGAACCAATCCAAGAAAACAACATGTTGACTATTTCTGGAAAATGGTTACGTCGATATTCTGAGCCCTATAAGGCGCCCGCAGCTAATGTTGACGAAAATGCCCCTTAATTTTAAAACATTTTTTTAGCTCAATGTATTTGTCATAATTACCATTTTTTTTCTTCATTTAATAAAAATATAATGTTTACTCGAGCTTATTTGATTAATGTTTAAATTTCAATTTAGAACCCAATTTATGAAATTCGATAAGTTTAGTACATTGAATATGTATGAATATTGGGAATATAACTTTATCAAAAATTACAATTTTTAGAATATTAATGGTAAGTAAAGTTTGACTTGCACAGTTACGTTCTTACCCACCAACCCACGAATGATTTTTTCTATGTTGCGATCGACGAAGATTATATCGGGTAGATTTTTACTGTTGATTTACATATACTATTGTGAGTGTATGTGTATACGAGTGCTTGTGAATAATAAAGATTTATCCAGCGTATTTAACCGATGTATTATAGTATAGGCCGACTTTCCGGAATATATTATTATGTCCCTACAGCGGTAAATTAGGGTCAAAATGTATGGTGAATGGGGGAAATCTATTGGTTGCTTCACTTGACTTTTAGGCACTGTTTACAGTAATGGTGTACACTTATCCACATGACAACTGTCACACTACTAATTTTAAATTAATTAAATGCAATTTGCTTAAAAAAGTTGATATAATTTCCGAGTTATTGCACTAGTATGGTTATATCTAGGTTGAGTTGCTTGATTACCGGCAATTAAACGAAACAACCCAACTTTGAAGGATATTGAAGATTATTATCGACCCAACTTAGATAGTTAGAGTTTTTGTTGACCCATAATGCAAATTATATTTTTGAATATTTTGTTACAAAAATGTTATATTCTTGCAATTAAGCATAATTGTATCAAAAATATTTTAATACAAAATTCAAAACACTACAAACAATGTGTGTTGAAATTAAATATAAAATATTGTAATAAAATTCAAGTATTTCAGATCACGTGTCTTAAAATTAAACTAGTTCAAAATATAATAAAAATTCCAAAATACTACGCGACATATTAAAATTTTCTATTTTTCTCATCAATCAACATGAACTGAACAAAGAATTCAAAATGTACTCCAGAATAGTTAATTTCATAAATTAGAGAATTAGGTTTATGTACTTTTTGAGTTTAGTCAATACTAGAGAATTTAATAAATAAAAAGAAGTAAATAATAAATAAAGTTGATTGGTCGATATTACCTGACCAACCAACTTTTCATCATATTATAAGCTATTATTGACCCAACTATACATCCATTGGTTGATACTATCAATCCAACTTAAACACATCAATTAACGGTTAATTATTCATATAATAATATGGATCGAAAATGGAATGACTGGGTTAAACCGGGCCACGGACAACCCTGTACTCGAGAACGAAAATTACCTAGTAAAATAAATATATAAAGGTCAAACATAAAATTTCCATGCACACAGCTAACTCTAGAGTCTCTACCCACCATTACCAAGACTAATTAACCAGTCCTCATCACATGCAAAGTTTAATTTGAGAAAACAAACAAATAAATAATTATTATTACTATTATAATAATAAATAAATAAATAAATAAAAACACTCACCCACTTAAACTTGCAAACAATTGAAAAATAATAAATTAAATTACTATACTCGAAATATTAGATTTTATTATTTTGCACTGATTCAGATGACGTCTGACTTTATGTGTACTTGCACATCTTTATTAATCCCACATCACCACACTGAACAAATTCATCATAATTCATATATCATATATATATATACAACAAAAAGGCTTTGATCATTCAAAATTGAGTATTCATCTGCAAAAATGGAGATAAACAATCTCTGTTTGTATCTATCACCCATAATCCTGTTAGCCCTTTACAGCACAATCCTTCATCTGCTAAACAAATTCCGAAACCTTCCTCCAAGCCCGTTTCCAGCCCTCCCTTTCGTCGGGCACATCTATCTTCTAAAGAAGCCATTCCACAGGGGACTTTCGGAAGTTTCTAGAAGGTTCGGCCCGGCCATATTCCTCCAGCTCGGATCCAGGCCCGTTCTTCTAATCTCGTCTCCATCTCTAGCGGAAGAATGTCTGACGAAGAAGAACGACATCATCTTCGCCAACAGGCCGAATCTACTCAACGGGAGGTATTTCGGATATAACTACACGAGCCTTTCGTGGGCCCCGTATGGAGACCATTGGAGGAATCTTCGGAGGATCTCTTCTCTCGAGCTGTTGTCCTCCCAGAGAATACAGATGCTTTCTTACATTAGGGCAGATGAAGCCATGAGCCTTGTCAGAAAGCTTGTCCACGTCAGCATCGAAGAGCCGGACAAAGTCTTGGAAGTCAAATCGGCTCTTTTCGAGTTTAGTTTCAATGTCTTGACTAGGATGATCACAGGGAAGAGGTTAGTTCTAATTTCTTCACTCGATAAAAATATTTGAAATTTTATTAAGGACTTCATTGCATTTAGTACCCCTTTGTATTGAATTACAAAAAAACTCCCCGTGTTTAATGTATTTTTTTAGCACACAACTCCCTAGAAAGTGATTTTTTAGGGGCAGTTTGCCAAAAATCGAATCATAGGGGTTTTTTTGCTAATAAAATAATATCGGGAGTTTTTCCTTTAACAATTAGAGAAAAAACAGGGATGCAGAATGCAATAAACCCTTTCATTAAGACTCGGTAATTAGAGTTGGACCAATAAAATAATACGGGACCGACGAGAGCAATTTTTTCGGGTCGGCATTATATTATATGGGCCAACTCGAAAAGTTGTTATCATCATTAAACTAGTTAAAACATAAAACAGGACATAATTATTTAATTAATCATGATATATTTTATTCAACCTACAGATATTATGGTAAAAATGTGGAGAACTCGAAAGAAGCCAAGATTCTCGAGGAGATAGCAATCGAGACATCAAAAGTGGCGTTCGAGACAAACGTTGTCGATTTCTTGCCTTTGATGAGGTGGTTCGGGTTTAAAGATTTGGAGAAGAAGTTGATTTCTATACACGAAAAGAGAGACAAGTTCATGCAAAATGTAATAGACGAAAATCGACGAGAAGTACTATTGATGGAAAACAACGAATGCACTAATACTACTACTTCAGTTAATCATCAAGTGAAGACGAAGAAGACGAAGAAGAACATGGTGGAAGTTTTGCTGGATTTGCAGAGATCAGAGCCTGATTATTACACAGATGAAACCATCAAGAATCTCCTCTTGGTAAGATTAATTAATTAGAGAATTTTTTATTTTTATTATATGATGTCGGCGTAGGGGCGATTAAGGTTATTTATTATTGATTCGACATACGTATGAAATAATAAATTATTTAAATAATTACGACAACGATCTAGCGAATTATTTGAACATAATTATACTTCATCTCCAATAATTGAACCTTTACTTTTCTTAAACACTGGATAATATAATAAAATTATGATAATGAAATGATATTAGAGATAACACAGTAATCATAAAGTATGAGACAATCCAAAAAAAACAGCTATGGTTTAATGATTGCATAATTTAATTAAATATTAATTTTCAATGGATGATTGCATTTCTAATTAAAGAATATTAGCTTCCATAATTCTCATGAATAATTATTATGATTAGCAGAAAATATATCAGCAAGCAAATAATAAATTTTGAAATATTATCTAACCTTAATTGAATGATTTCAGGTTTTACTGCAAGGAGGATCATCAACTTCAACAATCGCCCTAGAATGGGCGTTTTCCCTGCTGCTCGACAATCCAGAAACCCTAAAAAAAGCCCAATCCGAAATCGACGCCCGCGTCGGATTCGACCGCCTCATCACCGAAACCGACGTGGCGGCGCTGCCGTACCTCCGCCACGTCGTCCTCGAAACGCTGCGTCTGCATCCTCCGGTCTCGATACTGATGCCCCACCGCTCCTCAGCCGAGTGCACGGTCGGCGGATTCCGAATTCCGGCGAACACCATACTGCTGGTGAACATATGGGATATTCATCATAACCCGGAAATATGGCCCGACCCGGAGGAGTTCAGACCCGAGAGATTTGAGGGGTTCGATGGGAAGAAGGAATTGGGGTTTAGGTTTTTCCCATTCGGGTCGGGTCGACGGGCCTGCCCGGGTGAGAATTTGGGGATTTCGAATATAGGGTTAGGGCTTGGTTCATTGATTCAGTGCTTCGATTGGGAGAAAATTGGGGAAATTGATATGAGCGAAGGCGCCGGAACGACGACGCCTAAGGTTCAACCGTTAACGGCTAGATGTAAGCCACGTCACTTTCTTGAAAATTTTATTTCTTGAATATTTGAACTCTTTTTTTTTTTTTTAGTGCTTTTCTTTTTGCTAAAATTTTAATTATTGTGTGTTCTTTTGTGCAACACTTGATCAAGTGGAGTTTGATTGATTATCAAATGATATCATACTTAAAATAATTGAGATTGTTGGGTACCCTTTTGGTTTGTAATAATATATGGACATAAATACATGGAGCCGTTTTTTCGGCTCAGCCCCCTTATTGTCCAAGTCCACGTCCGGAAATCCATTCTAACCACAACACCAAATTGGTATCAGACACAATGCCCAAACTAAAACCCAAAATCTATCCTCCTACTCACTAAGTTGACTCAACTAAGAATCAACTCGATCACTCAAATGGTTGAAATACTCACGGAATTCTTCTGTTGTCGCGAAGTTTTCCTTACTCACACTCCATCACCGGAGATCAGAGAAGAAAAAGAGAAGATGAATGAATAGTGTCTCACTTCTCTCTCTTTCTCATAGTCTGCTTTAACAGCATACGAAACAACGGTCAAAGACAGCAAAACTGCCTTCAAATTAATGTTATCCGTGTACAACGACGAACGTTGAAGAAAGTCGTCGAAAAATGACATAGAAAGGCAAAAGAGGCACAACAGGAGAGGAGAGGGAGAATACTGAATAGAGAGAGAAATGTCCAAGCAAAAGGGAGTGTAAGATTTTCAAATCTTAGCTTATAAAGCATCAGATGGATGGTCAAGATCTGACCGTTTGAATTAAACAGTCAAAATCAGTCAAACTAAATTTAAGTTGGCTATTGGGCTAATTCCATGAATTTGGCTGCTCAATTATTGCGTTTCTTGGCCTTATGCACACGAAATAAAAACATTTAGGGCCACAGATTGAATAAATACAGTCACAATTCATGATCCAATTTTTTCATTCCATTTACAAATTTATTTAATATATCTATTAAAAAGTATTATTAATTTCTTTCTAATTCCATTTCTGCATATATAACCAATTCTATATCTACATACCAATAATCCACACACAGGTTAGTGAGACAAACAGTGAGTTTCTAAAATGAGCATTTGTATTCTTCCCATTTATAGAGATTAGGCAGTAAGTTAAATGTATTTGTCTTCTTTTCAAATTTCAAATAAATTATTGCAAGGCCCCTTTATTTTATTTTTTTTTATTTTTTTTAACTATTTGTAATATAATATAGTGACTAACAAGTACTCGCTTTCGTTTCTTTTTAAGTTGTCTCTTTAGTCATAATTTGTTTTTCCCATATTATGTGTGGTTTCAGACGTCGTGTTGGTCATTTTATTTGTTTATTTTTTTATATTAAAAAAAAAACAATTTTGGACCAAAAAAAAAACCCTATTTTGATAACTCCTTGTGATCCCAATGCAATATAAAACTATGCTTGGACAAAAATATATGAGTTAGCCAAATTTGAGAATGAAATGGAAAATGACAAATAGAAGAAGCTTTAATGTAAAAGTGGTTGAGTTATATATAGAGATTAAAAGCCATTAATTTATATAATGGGGTGGTGCAAAAAAACAAATCCATGACACAATCATCTACTTAACAATGTACACTTCCCAAATACCAAGGTGATGTTTTTTTTTTTGTTTTTTTTTTTTTTTCTCTATAGAATATCATAATTTATTTTTATTATTTTTTCTACTTTTTTTCTCAATGTTTTTTTTCTTACACATAAAAACAGTGCAAGTTCAGAGGATATATAGAAAGAACTAGAAGATGACAGAAACAGAGAATGCAGGTGCAAAATGGAGGTGGGATTCTTTTTTTATTGCCACAATATTATTATTTTTTATTTTATTTTATTTTATGTATATTTTTTTATTTTATTAGTGGAATTAAAATTGAAGGAGAAGATAGTATTAAGACAGTGAATTGTTTAAGAGGGAGATTGCTAGCAGAGAGAGTGGCTTCAAGAAATGCTACAGAAAAGGCAGACCAATTGAGGAACAAGGTATGTATGTTATTACAGTGTGTGTTTGTCTGTCTGTCTGAATGTGGTGATTAAATTGATTTTTTGTTTTGATATTTTATTTATTTCTTTTTTAATAATGTCTGAAAAATCCCAGTTGTTAGAAGTGGAGAAGATGTTAAAACAAGAGGCAAAATCAAGAAACAAAGCTGAGAGAAAGCTGAAAATCTTGATGAATAGGCTTCAATCCTTGAATATTTCCTACGTCGCAAACGAATCGGAAACCGGGTCGAACCAAGATCCGATTTTTCCAACAATATCAAACAATTCGGACCGAAACGAAGATTCTTTAACTTCCGAGAAACAAGTGTTTTCGGATGATCAAAGGTGCACTATTCGAACTTATATTACATTCTTAGAAAGTTGCACTAATTAGTTATATATAAACTTGGTTGTGACGCAGAATCGAAGGCCTGAGCCAAGAAGATGATCAAGAATATCCGTACGAGCACATTGATAATTCGATGGCCTTGATTGCGGTTGATACACCGCCACACGAAAATCAGACCGTCGATCCAGAAATTCTCGATCACACTGTGAAAGAAGTGCTGGATGCATTAAGGCATGCTAAAGAACAACTTCAAAGTTCAATGCAGAGGAAGAGAATCAGCACTATTATTAAAGTTGGCTAGATTAAATTTATTTTGTCCCAAGTATATATACAGCATATGTATATTTATTTATTTATTGCGTGGATGCATATATATATAACAAGATTGCTTAAATTGAATAAATGGTTCAATATATTATAATTTTTTCATGACTATGTAACAAAAAAAATAAAAATCATCAGAAATATTTTACCAGTTGAAGTGAATCTACCCCCCACACATTTTGTGTTGATTTGTTTCCACGGATTTATACTTAGATGTATATTTATATATATCTACATCCATAGGTATATGTCTATATATGTATATATCGCCCCTGTCCCCCCGTATATAGATGTGTATAGCTAGATATCTATATATATATATACTTATAGATATCTGTATATCGCATCTATAATATATATCTTTATATATATATATTTTTTGCTTAATGATGGGGGTGTGTGTGGTAGAGAGGATATCTATATGTCTCTTTTCTTTTCTATTATTTATCTCTCATAACACAACATGCACATTGTGAATAT